CCCCACCAAACTGCGCAGGCAGCCTGTGAGGTATAGACACCCTCACCAAACTGCGCAGGCAGCCTGTGAGGTATAGACACCCTCACCAAACTGCGCAGGCAGCCTGTGAGGTATAGACACCCTCACCAAACTGGCTCTGCGGCTGGACAGAAGATTCCGGAAAGCCTGCAAGACACCACTTACCCTGCAGGGTGCAGACTGGTCCACTGTCCTGATTCTTTGTTCTCTTGTTCCTGAATTGACTTGGAATGTCTAAGGAGAGGTCTGGGGGTTTGGGGGCGGGAGAGCATAAAGCGTTGTAGTCATGAGCTGAAGGTCACCTCGGCCGGAACTGAAGACCCGGGTGGCACAGGTGAGGGAGCAACTCACCAAGAAACGGGTCAAACTTCTTGGATTCCGTGCCACATATCAGGCAGTTCACCTCGTTCTGCAGCACCCCGCTGAAGACAGACGTCACCACCGTCGACGTGCCGTTTCTGGCGAGACAGTGCGTTACTCCGACTCTACTCCGATATGGAAAAAGCACCGTTTAGCACAGGGGTACAAATGAGATAAAGATGGGTGGGCAAATTCATCCATCATAGCCGATCTGCTCAGAAGGTGGTACTAGGGATCTGTACTCAGAACAGTTCTTACACCAAACAAATCCGCCAAACCCACAGATTTGATGGCCGTAGCTGGAAGAACAAAGCGGTCAATAATCCACAGGCGAGGTTACAAAGTCGCGGACAGGTGAGACGGAGGTACTACAAGGTACTACCTACATGCAGCATTTTCCTGCCAAGGAGGACTGCAGCCCGTCCTGGGTGAGCGCCGCGCTGGCCGCCTTACTGTGGTTCCCCTGCAGCTCCAGGTGGAGGTGATCTAGCAGGTAGCGCATGAACTCGTGGGCGTCCTGCTGCTGGTAGCCCCTGCAGAGAGGTGCCAGACCGCCGTTTACGTGGCCGGCAGGCGGCCAGGTCGCAGCGGCCCGAAAACCAGGGTTCTGAGCTGTCAGAACACGGCGGGCACCCGCGCAGAGAGCTGGAAATGTGGCAGACGGTACCTGAAGTTTGGCATGATTTTCCAGACGACGTAGAACAGGGAGTCTGGGCTGAACGCCGTCTGGCTGCCCTGCCACAGCGAGCACAGAGTCTTCCGGAACTCCTCCACCAGCGAGCTGCTCCATGCACCGGGGAAGTGGACAGTGATGTCAGCGTATCCCCCCACCCTCATCGCCATGGCGACGGGCACTCACTCATTTTATGAGATGCAGGAAAGGAGGATATCGGCACCGCCGCTTCTCCCCCCACCTCCACCATTTTCACCTCCCCCAATAGCATGTGCGTGAGGTTCTTACACGCTGGTGTCCCCCTGGCTCCGTGTGTGATACATCCTCCTCCCGGCCGTTTTACCGCTGCGTAACTCAACTGCAGGCAGCTCTTTGAAGTAGCAGCAGAACTGCTCGATATTACTGCGAGGAGAACAGCAGGGAGGCATTAACCACAGCGGCGTGACCAACGACGCCCCTCAATCACATCCTCCTGTTTATTCTGAGGCTTTAACCGCTGTCATAATCATCTTCGGGAGACATTTAAGGAAATTACAAGATATCTGTAAGAATTAATGCACTTCACTGTGGCCCTTTAAGATGCATCTCGGCATTCAGAAACCAGTGAATAGGGACTAAACTCTCGCACTAGGGGCTGACTGTGCTGTGAAAGAGGCCAAAGTTTCATCAGCGTGGGGCGATATGCAAGATGGCAGCCTGCCTGCTTCCCTGGCAGCCTCTCAGGCGCGATCACTGAGGCAGGGCGGGCCAGAGGCAGACTGGGGCTGGCAGGGAACAAAGGGCCACACACCTGAGGGACTGCAGGATGGCGTTCATGAAACACGTGTTGCCAAGGTTACGGAGGCCGGTGGCAGTATGAGAGGGTCCCCCTCCCTTTGGGAAAAAACCAAGACATGATCAGAGGTTAGCTAGGGTTAGGGTTAGGATTGGTCAGGTTAGGGTCAGTTGGGAGTTACATGCAGCATTTTTAGCACCTGACCCTGTTCTAGACCGTACTCAGCATCCTTAATAGTTATAGATAGTAAATAAACAGGGGTGTGTATCTGTGTGCGTGTGTGCGTCTGTGTGTGTAATTGTGTATAGCTGTGTGTGTGTGTGTGTGTGTGTGTGTGTGTATCTGTGTGTGGTTAGGTATAACTGTGTACATCAGTGTGTAGCTGTAGAAGTGTGTATGTGTGTAAATGTGTGTAGCTATATGGTGTAATTGTTTAGCTGTGAGTGCATAGCTGTGTCTATGTAACTGCCTGTAGCTGTATCAGTATGTGTGTGTGTGTGTGACTGTGTATGCATAGCTGTGTATGTGTGTGTGGGGGGTGCAGTTTATACATTAATGAGCCTGCCAAATTCCACTCTGAATAGGATGCTTTTGATTTGCTATGACATGAACACAAAGCCGGGTATTATGGGTAAACAATGCAACCCGCAGTTTAACACGGATACAAAGACCCTTTTACCAGGTGTGAATAAAATTCCTTGACTTACAGGAAATGAAGAATATAAACTGGAACTCACACTGTCTTTTACAAGTTTACTGGTGACGGAGGGGCTTTCCAGAAGTTTCCTCTTCCGGTGGCAATCCAGTGCCAGGGCAGAGCTGCGTGGCAAGTGACAAGTCACACTTAAAACATTCAGAATAAACTGCCACCTGAAAAAGCCGTTTTCAAACTCAGTATCATTCTGGGGACCCGTGGTTTTTCAGTAACTCTGCTCTTTTTTGCAAACGTACAGTAAAGGTCTGAAATCTTTCCCATATATGGTGAAGACACTGAAGGGTCTCAGAGTGTCACTGCGTGCAGCCTGCTGTACATACAGCCACACAGGCAAACTGCAGCAGGTGTGTGTTCATGGGCTTCCTGTCCTTCCTGCTGCTTCCTGCGTTACTGAATCTCTCCCCATCAGCACCAAGCTGTGTCATGGACAAAAGGTCCGTACTGATATGAAGCGAAACAGATTTAATACATTCAATCAGAATTCAAACCATGATTTATCACAACCAGCAATGAGCCGGCCTGTCTTTTCACCAGAGACGGCTCTCTCCTAAAGCCCAGCCCCCGAATGTGACGGCACTCACTTCTCGAGGCTCTGAAGATGCTCCCTGACCTTCTGCACCAGCCCCAGTTTGGTGTCGTTCACCACAAAGTCGTCACACCGGTAGCTGAAAGCACAGAGCTCGCTCTAGTGAGATACGCACGACCCCCTGATCCCCAACAACTGCAGGTGACCGATTTACTCTATTACTAGAGTAAAACACCATCATGCTTGTTCAAAACAAAATTCAGCTATACAACCTGGTCCCAAAAAGACTGACAACACTGCAGTAAGAGTGTAACCCAAGGGTGGCAATCTGGATCCATGGAGAGCCAGTGCGGGTTTTTGGGATGACCTCTCAATCAGTCAATAATAAAGCAGTGGTTCTCTACTCCAGTCCTGGGGACCCACTGTTATTGGCCGATTGAAGGGCCATCTCAAAAATCTGCACCCACACTGACATTCCATGGATCCGGTTTGCCACCCCTGATGTAGCCCATATATGGATAACAGATCACTCTGAGTCAGTGTCTCCCAATCCGCTCCTCGGGGACCCACAGATAATCCACATTTTTGCTCCTGCCAGGAGGCGGGAGGAGGCACTGTTTGGCGGGGAGAAAAACATGGGCTGTCTGTGAGTCCCCAAGGAGCGGGTTAGGAAACACTGCTCTGAGCCAATCAGATCCTCACCAGAAGGTGCTGTAGCTGCTGCAGTCCATGCAAACGGAGTGCTGTGCCCTGTCCCTGTCCTTGTGCTTGTCCAGCCGTTCACACTGCCTCTTTTGTGGGCAGCCGGGCTCCTGCGAGTCCTCAAAATGCTTCTTGGCGTGTCCGTTTACATACCTTTCAGATAAAACAGGACAAAGAGAAACAGCTATTCAAAGAAAGTCAGAGAGGAAACTCGTGTAAACCACGAACGTCACAAGCTGGACAGGACTCGTGACGGTGGGGTAACCTGAAATTAATCTGGGACTTGCAGAAAGGCATCTGTTAAGGACAGCGAGGAGCAAATGATAAAGTGTCATAGCATGAAGCTGCACATACCGTCCACAGTGCACATTCAGGCAGGTCAGACACACCCAGGGGCTTTTATTTGACCGGCAAACTGCAAAAAAAGAAAGAAAAATTCAAACACGTCTCTCAACTTCACAATCACAAACAAACTGCTTCACGTTATTCTCTAACTCAGCGCTACTTGCTTACACAGGTGTTGATGCATTTGCAAGTTATTTTACCTAAAGTTTGTCTGCGTGCAGCATGCTTTATTAATTAAATATGGCCCCTGCTTCATCTAGGGAGGAAAGGGAGGGCACCTATGTCTGGGTACACGGGTTACACATCCCCCGGAGCAGGCAGCTGGTAGCTGAAGCGGCGGTTGCTAGGTAACGGCTCGTTAGCATGACTGCCTGCTTCTGTCTCACTGCTCAGATGTGGGAAATGTCAGTGTGGCGACGTCGCACCCGACTCAGAGGCGACGGAGGGAGCCTACGCATGCGGGGGAGCGCACGCGGCACTCATTCACACGTGTCATGCGTGACCTTACATCGTGGGTGCTCTGGCAGAGACTCGCAAAGCTAAAAGCCGTCAGCGGTACGAGGGGAGCGTGGGGACACCGAGACACGTCACTCATGGGTCAGTGAGCGGCGTCCCCAACACACCCTCTCTCTCGCACCCGTGACCGGCTTTAAATTCCTCCACACAGTGGATACCGCGTTTGTTTAGAGGCCAGCCGGCCTGCCCCACACCTGAAATGCACCTCACACGCAGACGTCACCCCTCACAGACCTCTTTCTGTGTCCTAACATCGATCTGAGGTGGAGTTCATGACTATAAATTTATAAGTTCATGGTATAAATTTAATCTACATTTCAGTGGGCCACTTTGGCCACGTTAGACAGTAATACCCCAGGATATCTGCCTGCCCTTAATTATTGTGCAAGCCCCCATTTATTACACCTCTTCCCACCAAAGGAGGAGCGATGGTATCCCATTCCGGGGATGGGGATGGGGGGGGCTGGTATACACTCCCCCAGCGTGTGGCTCTCACCCACACACAGCCATAACGCCGCATCGCGCGGACGGCCATCAGGACTTGTATTTCCTAATATATTTTTTCCACATCCTATACTTATGGTAAGGCGCAATTGTACATACATTGATAACTGTTAGTATTTTAATGCTATTTCCTCTGTATGCCGGGTTCATGCGGACAGAGCTGCGCAGGGGGCGTCACAGCCGCTGTCTGCGCTGGGAGATAAAAGGCGGGTTGGGGCTAATCTCCTCCACCTCTCCCCCATCCTCCGCGGGGGCTTAGGTGCTAAGAATACTCATCGGCCAACGGAGCCCCGCGCAGGGCGGTTTCATATCGCTGGGTTTTATTTCTTAAAAACGCACAAACTGCGGGAGTGATAACGGAGCGGCCTGAAAACACCGGCTTCTCCGGTAACCCGCTGGGGAACATCGCGGAAATGAGGCAGCGGAGCCGGCACGGCAGCGTGGGGCTTTGCGGAAGTGAGCGGAGCCGGCGCACCGGGCGCGGAAGGGGCTCAGGGCGGCCAGTCAGCGGGGGCGCCGAGACTCACCGCCGCAGCACCAGGAGGAAGGCGAGCCGCTCTGGAAACGGGAGGAATCGAGGGCGCCGCAGACGCTGGAGCTGAGATGCGGGCACTCCATCGCCGGCCGGGCCGAGGCTGCGGGGCTCAGGCTGCAAGAGAGACACGGACAGGTACGTTTGGTGCGGGGACTTCGCAACCCGCAGGACCTCCGCCCGTCCCGCCGGGGCCCCGTGCCGTGTCTGCCCCGATTCCGCGAGGCGTCCGGCGGCTGAACATGCAGGTGGCTCACAGTACCTGAAAAGAACGCCGGATCCGGGGTACGCTTCGCGGAAGGAAGGCGGCCCCGTCCACATGGGGAGGATCCGGGCGGTGCAAAGAGAAATGACGCAAGTTCCCCGGATCCGGTGGCAGGACGGCGCAGACTCGCTACTGCTATCTGCCGAACTGGAGTCCGCGGCCGGTAGGCGGGCGGGGAGGTGAGGAGCGGCATGGGGGAGCCGGTGCGGATCGTGAAGCAAAATCATATGGGAAAGACACCAGTAATAAGGCACATCTGGGATTATGAAAGAGTGCGACGCGGTGCATTTTTAAAAAGAACCATAATCATTTGGCTGTAAAAAGAACAATTCTCACCGAGGAGCAGATATATTATAGAAAATATAAATTATTATGCGACTTTAAGTCTCATTTTCTCGAGCATCGTGTAAGGTGTTAATGTCAGTTCTATAGAGAAAACGCCATTGTTCTTATTGTTATTAGCGTAGTAGTAGTTGTTGTTATAGCCTAAGTATTTGGCCACCAGGTGGCGTACTGAACTTGGGAGAAAAGCAAAAATTACAACAAAAATCATAAATTACAGTTACTCAAGCTGTGCGTGAAATGCGTAAAAACTTAGTAGAATTTAAAAAATAACACACGATAATTCATTATTTGCTTTTGATTCTAAAAAAAGTCATGCCTATAAACATCTTATCCTACATTCCTCCACATGCCGCAATTCACACAAAAAATGAAATTCAAAATCCCAGAAGATAAAAAGGAAAAGTCTGCACACTCATTTCCAACATACAGCTCCGAGTAGTGCTCTCCTTGTGCAGTACGGACTGAATGCAAAAACAGCTACAATCGATATAAAAAAGTGTACACACCCCTGTTAAAATGCCAGATTTTTGTGATGAGACCACAATAAACCATTTCAAATCTTGTCTCATCTTTAATGTGTCTTATAACCTGTACAATTCAATTGAAAAACAAACAAATCTGTTGGGGGGGGGGGGAATTGAAAATGTACAATAAGTTGGTTGCACAAGTGTGCACACCCTTAATCTAATACTTTGTTGAAGCACCTTTTAATTTAATTACAGCATTCGGTCTTTTTGGGTACACACCTGCCATCAATTAAAGTGACTCTGATTAACCACAAATAAAGTTATAAAGTTCAGCTGTCCTAGTAGGATTTTCATGACGTTTATTCAGTTGCGTCCTACAGCAAAAGCCATGGTTCACAGAGAGCTTACAAAGCATCAAAAGGGATCTCATCTTTGAATGGTATCAGTCAGGGTACAACATTTTTCCATGGCATTAGATAGACCATGGAAGACTGTGAAGACAGTCATCAAGAAGTGGAGAAAATATGGGACAACAGTGACGTTACCGAGAACTGGACGTCCCTCCAAAATTGATGAAAAGACAAGATGGAAAACTGGTCATGGAGGCTGTCAAGAGGCCTACAGCAACACTGAAGGAGCTGCGGGAATTTCTGACAAGTAATGGTTGTGTGCATGTGACTGTCGTAAGACGGAAGCTTTTTCTTCTAAAGGAAAACATCCAGGACATGCTAAATTTTGCAAAAAAAAAAAAAGTCTTCCAAAAGCATGTGGGAAAATTTGTTGTGTTATGGTCTGATGAAACCAACATTGAACTTTTTGGCCACAATTCCAAAAGATACACTCACCTAAAGGATTATTAGGAACACCTGTTCAATTTCTCATTAATGCAATTATCTAATCAACCAATCACATTCAGTTGCTTTAATGCATTTAGGGGTGTGGTCCTGGTCAAGACAATCTCCTGAACTCCAAACTGAATGTCAGAATGGGAAAGAAAGGTGATTTAAGCAATTCTGAGCGTGGCATGGTTGTTGGTGTCAGACGGGCCGGTCTGAGTATTTCACAATCTGCTCAGTTACTGGGATTTTCACGCACAACCATTTCTAGGGTTTACAAAGAATGGTGTGCAAAGGGAAAAAGATCCAGTATGCGGCAGTCCTGTGGGCGAAAATGCCTTGTTGATGCTAGAGGTCAGAGGAGAATGGGCCGACTGATTCAAGCTGATAGAAGAGCAACTTTGACTGAAATAACCACTTGTTACAACCGAGGTATGCAGCAAAGCATTTGTGAAGCCACAATACGCACAACCTTGAGGCGGATGGGCTACAAAAGCAGAAGACCCCACCGGGTACCACTCATCTCCACTACAAATAGGAAAAAGAGGCTACAATTTGCACGAGCTCACCAAAATTGTACAGTTGAAGACTGGAAAAATGTTGCCTGGTCTGATGAGTCTTGATTTCTGTTGAGACATTCAAATGGTAGAGTCAGAATTTGGCGTAAACAGAATGAGAACATGGATCCATCATGCCTTGTTACCACTGTGCAGGCTGGTGGTGGTGGTGTAATGGTGTGGGGGATGTTTTCTTGGCACACTTTAGGCCCCTTAGTGCCAATTGGGCATCGTTTAAATGCCACGGCCTACCTGAGCATTGTTTCTGACCATGTCCATCCCTTTATGACCACCATGTACCCATCCTCTGATGGCTACTTCCAGCAGGATAATGCACCATGTCACAAAGCTCGAATCATTTCAAATTGGTTTCTTGAACATGACAATGAGTTCACTGTACTACAATGGCCCCCACAGTCATCAGATCTCAACCCAATAGAGCATCTTTGGGATGTGGTGGAACGGGAGCTTCGTGCCCTGGATGTGCATCCCACAAATCTCCATCAACTGCAAGATGCTATCCTATCAATATGGGCCAACATTTCTAAAGAATGCTTTCAGCACCTTGTTGAATCAATGCCACGTAGAATTAAGGCAGTTCTGAAGGCGAAAGGGGGTCAAACACCGTATTAGTATGGTGTTCCTAATAATCCTTTAGGTGAGTGTATATATGTTTGGTATAAAAGCAGCACATCACCAAAAGAACACCACACCATGCCCTGGGTTTGTTTTCCTTCAGCTCGGACTGGGGCTTTAGTCAGGGTGGAGGGAATTATGAACTGTTCCAAATACCAGGCAATTTTGACTCGACACCTTCAGGTGTCTACTAGAAAGATGAAGAGGAAGAGGAATTTCACTTTTCAGCACAACAATGACCCCAAACATACATCCAAATCAACAAAAGAATGGCTTCACCAGTAGAAAATTTAAAGTTTTGGACTGGCCCAACCAGAGCCCAGACCTAAATCCGGTTGAAATTCTGTGGGGTGACCTTATAGAGCTGTGCACAGGAGATGCCCTCACAAATCTGACAGATTTGCAGCGCTTTTGCCAGGAAGAGTGGGCAAATATTGCCAAGTCAAGATGTGGCATGCTGATAGACTCCTACCCAAAAAGACTGAATGCTGGAATTAAATCAAAAGGTGCTTCAACAAAGTATTAGTTTAAGGGTGTGCACAATTATGCAACCAGCTTATTGTATGTTTTATTTTTACCCCCTTAACAGATGTGTGTTTTTCAATTGAATTGTACTGGTTAACAAGGTGGGAAGTTTTGAAATGATTTATCGCTGTCCCATTTTTAACATAAAAACCTGGCATTTTTACAATGGTGTGCACACTTTCTATATCCAATGTAACATATAGTGCATTCGGGTAATATGTCATAAAATTAATCGTCTTTTCTTCAGAATCCAAGAAACAGCTAAATTATTTTATTATAATATGTGGGGGAAGGTCTAGAATTAGTTGTGCACCCCCGAAAACACCCACTTTGGATACATGAGGATGCGTAAATGTTTGCGCGCTTTAGGTTACCCCAGTACACAGCAGTGTGTCTGTAGCTACTGTAGCCCAAAAATGCAAACATAAAAGACGCAAAAGAGCAGAAAGAGCCACGCCAAACGGTCAGCCACAAAACGACTAACTCACTAAGCTAAGGAATTACCCACTACTTAGGTTGTGCGCGAGATAGTCATTCTACATCATCCACTGAATCTGTTATTAATCTGTTTATAGCTTATAGTTTTAATAACAATGCGGATATTCTTTTTTCCATCACTTAGCCTATATGTATATGTGAAGGACCTTTACATTAGCTTGGCAGAATTCCTTTTTTAGGATCTTAGCCAGGGTACAAAATGCAATTTTATTTTTAAGTCTGCGAAGTAACCGCCAACACAAAACAGTGAACATATTCACAAAAGGTTCACTTGTGGATTTTTAAAACATCATTTACTGGTTTATTTTGCTTTTGAATTTGGCATTGTCGGAAAGCGGTTCCAAGATAAATGTCTCCTTTCAGCACACAGCTCTACTTTAATCAGCACAGAGCACTGACAGCTTGTATATGAATTTAATGTGACTGCTCCGCGCCACTTGTATTATCGAAAGCAGAGCGCATATACGCTGCTTAAACGGAATGTTCTGTACACCGTTCTCCGAAGATAAATATGTGGTTTACTACATTTTCTACGCGCACAAAAGCAATTAGAGTATTTATATAACCATGAAATAAAAAAGTAATTTCACAATGAGTAAAAAGACCTCAGTAGATAGGAACCCAGTGCTGTAGTAGGCTATAACGTGCTAAAAGACGGGTTCATACAATTTGCTTTATAAAACGGGTGATCCGCTATAAAATGCGGATGGTTTCCTGGCTCTCGGCTTCCTCAGGATGGAAACTTTTTATTCTGCATTCGGATCCCGGCGCGAGCTGCTGGGACCGGCCGGGATGCGGTGGGCTGGTCGGGCATTTTCCTGACGTCAGGTCGCGAAAAGGACGGCAGATAAACACAGTATAAAGCCGCAATGACGGCTCTCTGGTCTGTTTTCTGCCCTAATACCTGCCTTTTGAAGGGAACCAAAATGCGGACCCACTGCCAGTCTGCCCTGGGTTTCGCTGCGCTTTTCATTTTTTTCGTTACCAGGTTTTCCCACGGTAAGATAACTTTTAACAATAACTTTTAAGAATGAATCATTTAGTGAAAAACAACATTTTTTCATCCCACAGTATTTAAATGTAATACCACAGGTTGTTGGAATTTTTATACAAACGTGTTGTTAATGACAAACTTGACAAATCCGATAAAAGCTTGCCATCACAATACGTACGTGGCACCTGTGTTAGAATGAAAGTTATATATTTCTATATTCCGGTTATTTTATTTGCTATAAAACTGTATAAATGCTTTGTAGATTTACAGAAGAAAACGATATACAAGTCTTGGAACACATTTCACAAATTATGTTTTAACAAACGAAATAATAACAAAATAACGACGATGATGATAATAATAATAAAATAGTCGATGTTCTCTGTCACGTGCTGTCTAATATTCAGTTATGCCGTCAGCTTAAGCCTGTTCTTGCAAAAGCTTTCTTTTTTACATTTCCAGTCTGTTTCACTGCGTACTGTACCAACGGTATATGGTTGAAATCACAATAAATAGCCACTTGATTTGACCATACAATCAAACTATCGTCAAAGGGCTAAACTGAACTATTATAGTGGATACATGGGAAAATAAATATATACTGTTAATTTTTATATATATAAATTATTTAAAAAACAGTTTTATTCTCATTAGTGTCAAATTCACATTTTGCCGCCCCCATCATTAATATCGATGCAGGTTTTCCGTTCGTTTCGAAGTTTGCAGTCTAAATAAATGTTATTTTGTCCTGGTCACTAATTAAATATCAAACTGGAGTGACTAAATGCCTAATGTTGGAAAAGATGAAAAAGGCTTTTACATTTTATTACGCCTTTGGATGTATTTTTTTTTTTTTTAACCATACAGAGCAACTGTAAATTGATTTAATGATTGGTTTGATTTTCTGTGTTCTCTGTGTTTCAGGTGCTGCATGGACGTACACAGGTAAGTACCGTATTTTCTGCCGTGACATCTCTGTGTAAGCTTTCTCCAACCTGCATAAACATGAATTTAATATTTGCATCTCATATACAGCATATGGAGCGCATCATGTGATTCCAAGCAGGTAGTGTAGTGCTGACTCTGGCGTGGGATGGGGCACTGTCACGAGGGAGGGCCAGAGGCACAGGACAGCAATGCTACAAAAATCCCCCCAAACAAGACTTAAACGCAAAACAGACTAGAAAAAGACCAACTTTAGCCCCAGAACCGCTTCAACAGTTGATGAAATCTTCTGAACACCACTGTTAAACTGAGCTGTTACTGCACTTGTGGCCCTCCTGTTAGCTTCAGTGAGTCTGGCTGTTCTCACTGTATTTTAAGCCACAGAATTGCCACTGTCTGGGTATCTTTTGTTTATTGCACCATCCTCTGTAAACATTATAGTGTGTGAGATTCTCAGGAAGGCGGCTGTTCATGAGGGGTTCAAACCACCAACAATCACACCTATTCTAAAACCACAGACATCAGGCATCTTGCCCATTTCAATATTCAGCCAAACAGCAGGCTGAGTGAACTTCCTTACTCGGTCTGTGTGATGTGTCTGTTCGGCTAGAGATGCATAATTTGTTGTTTGTGGGAATGGGCTGTTTGCGTTAATGAGCAGCTGTACCTAATGAACTGGATATTGAGTGTATAATTAGAATTAAGCTATTTCTGTCTTAAATGTTTCAAAAAATAAATGACGTGGAAAGGTAAAGTTCCAGAGAAAAATGACCATTATTACAGGACTGAAAAATTAAAAAGATAATTATGTAAATAAGTGATTATGACCAAAGATAAGTTTGTTTTCCTGATTCTGCCTGTTCAGTCCCTCTCTAAACACAATAATAAATCTTTTGTTGGCTGAGAAGCAGAGGCAGTGATATTTATCAGCTTGGCCGTACAACAGGATAGGGACCCTTGGAGTGTCATGGAATGTGACTGAAATTAACATTATCTGCCTCGCTGTTCAGGCTAAATGGTTTGGGGAAAGTTAAATTCTCTCTCGAAAAACTGATAAATACCCCAATTCAAAGAAGAATTACACATTGTAATAAATTGATACTCGAGGGCCTTGTCTAGGACAAGTGGTTAAAAGATGGAATTATGGATGAAATAATCTGATACATAGACACCGATCCTGAGGGTGCCAGAGGGCTGGACCTCCCACGGGGAAGGCCGAGCTCCACGGGAAGGATCGAATGCCGGATCGAATGCCGATGCTATAAGATCCTTTAATGTGATTGGCCAGCTTTCATTGGAGCTGGGGCGTGGATCTCAATCCGTGTTCTTCGAGAGGGCGTGTTAATTGTGTCTGTGTAGAATTGTATGTATAGAAGTGAGTGTGTGTGTGTGTGTGTGTGTGTGGGGTGGGGTGGGGTTTCCACAGATCACATTTGAGCTCCAAAATGTCCCCAAAGTGTGGTAAAACCTGAAACTTTTGGAGACATTTTCTCAGGTCCCCATTTGGATAACCTCAGTTTTATAAAAAATCTGTGAATGCAATCAAAAAAGTAAAAATGGTAAACATATTGTATTTTGGTTAGTTACTTATGGTTAGGGTTGGGCGGGGGTGAAGGTTGTTGTGATTGGGATTAGGGTTTTCCCCATAGAAATGAATGGACGCTTCCCATTTAGATAGGTGCGCGGGTGTGTGTGTTTGGGGGGGGATCAATTATTTAGGGCACCCACTGACAGAAATATGAACCGGCGCCTATATGAGCCTGAAGTAAAGAACGGTTTAGGGACTAAAGGGGTCTTATAACTGCACAGTGCATCAGCGAATGATAACTTTCTGAAGAAAGGAGAGCCTTCCTCCCAACAGCTCACCTAGGATGGAGTTCTGTTAGGCCCTCAGGATGGCGTACTGGGTCCAGCCTGGCCACCTGTCAGTAGGTGATGTTCATAGCTGAAGGAGGGAATTTCAGAAGAATTACCCCCCCCCCCTCCAAGAAAGTATCTAGGCATTTCATAGCCTCCTAGTTCCTAGTACAACCCCCTAGTTGCATTATCTTGAGGGACACAAAGTGTTAATTGTACCCATAGCACCATGAACATCAACTGTGCTGACTAATGTGGGCTGTTGCTGCCGCTCTAGAGCTCACGTTCTTCTTGGCGCTGACACTTCCAGCTCTCTGGTTGAGTCCCACCGCAGATGCCAGGCTGATGCCAGGCCGACAGACTCCATGGCACCCAACTGGGCTCGCCTGTCAGGCAGGAGCGCTGGAACTCCCGCTGGAGGGAATCGTCCAAAGCAGTCCTTTGGTGTGTGTGTTCCATGCGGGACGTGCCCCCATATTGCCAGACTAGCGTGTGGCACAATCGTTTTCAGCATTTCATTTAACCCACTTACTAGTTTATGTTACTCTCTGGCAAAGTCTTTTAATTCAGGGTCAAGTTAACCACAAACATCTCCTTATAACTACAGTACTCATTCTTAAGAAATCCCTCTGTCAGCTCACTGTAAGTCATATATTTATATGGCATATGAATCATATTCTGTATGATAGTTTAAACTTGTATCCTTCCAAAGACAAATTTTAACAATGTTAAATGCTTTTTCAAGGAGCAATATCTCCTTTCAGCATTTACTCTGATAATTTACTCCGATAAAACATAATATGACATCAGTGATATTTGAAATAAAACGCCGTTTTACGCAGACACTATATAACTAAAATGAGATGAAGAAAATAGTCCTTTACATTTAGTCCTAGATTTATGTATATTTTGCACTATTCCTTCTTTCCATCCATCCATCCTTCCATCCATCCATCCATCCGGTTCCGGGCCGTGGGGACCTCTCTCCTCCACCTGCTGTATTATAGTGACATTGTCACTGCCAGTGCTTGCTTCAGTTCCGCCAGAATAACCCAACACAAATGCTTACTGATTTACATATTATTTAAAGTGATGTAAGTGACCTTCTTTAAAGCTGTGAAAAGATGGGAAAGCTGTAAAGTCAATGAAACAACAGAAAGACTGCTAAACTCATTCAGAACAAATGAATGATCTCGTACCGATGTGGTCTTTTTTTAGGCAAACTAAGTTCACACAAGCCTCTCATTTGGGCGAGACTGGCAGCTTCACTTGCTGCCCCGCTAATGTCAGCCTGTCTCTCACACCCCGTCTGTCAGGAGCTCACAGGTGTGCTGTTGGTCACAGGCTGAGCTGTGGTCTCACTCTTTACACACACAGAGTGATATCTCACTCTCACTGTAGGTGACGCTTGCCTAAAATCATCGAGCGCCCAATTTGCTTTTCTAGGACGGCTTGTCATTGCGTGGTCAAGTTTCATAATGGACCAACAAAATATTTTAGGAATGTCTAAATAACCCAGTGCTGAACAGGCTCAGGGTAGATGAACTTGGAAATGGGTGTATTCCAATTATCTAGCCGTAGACCACAAATAGCCTTGCCCAATTACAGCTGTGCATTTAATGCCTTGTGCGTTCTGCCAGGTCCAAAGGGGGTGCAGCATTGGTCGAAGAGCTACCCGTTCTGTGGGGGTGTGTTCCAGTCTCCGATTGATCTCCAGACGCCACTGCTGCAGTACGACCCGTCCTTGGTGCCCATCGAGGTGCACAACTACGACCTGCTAGCACACGAGCAGCTGACGCTGGGGAACAGCGGACACGCGGGTGAGCAAAGTGTATCTTCAAATGGCTGCATTGTCGCTGAGGAAAAGGGAATCTTCACTGGAGAAAATGGTGCAGTGTTGCCTGGGAAAAATGTGCATGTTCACTGGGGGAAAAGGCAGTAGCGTCCCCACGGAAAAGGGTGCACCTTCACTGGGAAAAATTATATAAACACATATATGCTGCATGACAGATAACTGCAGACCATGCGCTCTTAAAATAGATTTACAGTCCCTTGAAACATAATTGTCTGTGAAAATATTCCATCCCACTTTTTATTGTCCTTATAGCTAAAATAATATGCACTACATATGTATTATTCCACAAGAGCTCCCTATAATTTGCTTGATAGAGGCATATCCTTCAGAATAATGCTTTTGGCTAAATGCAAAATGAGGCTTCTGGTTTGACAGAATGTCTAGATCCCTTTATGCTGACTAATCTAAGATTGTAGGGTGGTGAAGACATCTCAAGGAAATGCCTGAAACAACCAGTGTTTAACATGGAGAAAGAGCTCTAAGTCATTCTGTGTGTTCCAGAACCAAGGGATCGCTTCCTGTTCTGAAATCAGCTAGAATGGCATAGAGATACAGTTGGGTTATTGCCAAATTGACCAGTGTCTTAATTTGTGACAGAAATAGGTTAAAATAGTTGTAAGCATTTTATGGTAACGAAAGCTGGCTATCTGTTATACTGTGCTGTCCACACTGTAACTGTCCATCTGTCTGTATTCACTCATGTGTCCCTGTCCACAGTGAAGCTGTCCATCTCTGTGTTTACTCACATCGCACTGTCCACAGTGAAGCTGTCCATCTCTGTGTTTACTCACATCGCACTGTCCACAGTGAAGCTGTCCATCTCTGTGTTTACTCAAATCGCACTGTCCACAGTGAAGCTGTCCATTGCTCTGTTTACTCATGTGTGCTTGTCCACAGTGAAGCTGTACTTGCCCTCCAAGATGTACATCCTGGGTCTGCCAAACCGCTACTCGGCAGTTGAGCTCCACGTCCACTGGGGTTCTCCTAACACTCCTGCAGGTTCTGAGCACACCATCGACGGGAAGCGCTTTGCAGCAGAGGTGCGTTGGCATGGAGACACAACCCATTTCCCCCATGACACCTCATCGCTACTGAGTGCCTGTACTCAGCTGCAGGGACGGTGGTGGGTTCGAGGGCTAAGGGGTCCCTCATGTCCTCCTAAGGAACGGCGAACTTTTTATGTGCAGATCAAATCGCACTCAAAGCCAGCTGATAATGAAATCAATACAAAATTAAACCAGTTACTATAACAACTTACGACTTACATATTTGATTATAAAAAAGCCGTAATTTGCCTGAAACGTTTGTCTGAACTGCACCCCCCATTGAAGACCCAGTAGGATTATCAAGGCTGTAATATGCTGGGTTGGGACGTCTCGCCTGTCGCGGTGTAGAGAGAGTGGAGCTGATGCTGCCCCCCCCCTCAACCCCCCCAGTGCACACCCATCCATATTAAATTTCTTAACTATTATTTAGTGGTACTTTGCAGAAAATGTTTTTGGAAGCTTTTGGTTGCTGATCTTGTAAAGCTATTTGCATCGAAGATTTAAAGACTTGCTAAGTGAGATCTGTGTTAGTCTGTAATGCAATAGGGGGAAAATGTGCATTTCATTGAATTGTTATTTGGTCCTTTAAGGCTGATTTATTACATAAGCAAAACTTGGCTGCCCAGAGACACATCCTCAGTCCTTCTGCCCATCATGGTTTCCTGTAGGGCTGTGATGTTTGTGGTGATGATTTTGATGCGAAGGCTTTGTGTCGTGTCAAGCAATGACAGTACAGCTGTCTTATGAAATTACATGAGACCGTGTGTGGTTGATTTTCTCATCTGTTATTCTCTTTAGGGTTAGGGTTGGACCAGAGCTCTTCAGTAGACACACTGGGAATGGTTTATAGGCCAAGGCATCTAGACCCATAAACTGCTGGCATCTTGTCCCTTGGTTGTTCCTCGAGCTCAGGCCACCGCAGAGAGAGAGAGAGGTCATGTTTAAATGAATGCCTCCCAAAGTAGTAGAATTGTCCCCTTTTCCAGAAGCAAGCCCACACCCTGGCTATAAATACCCAGCCACTGGCTAACTGTCTGTGTCACACCCGTACAGCTCCCCCCGCCCCCGTCCCCACGGCAAACGCGGCGCTCTCGGCTCCGGCCGGTGTTACTCCATGAAGCTGCAGCTATGCCGCTTAGGGCACTGATGCATGATAAATGCAGTCGCATTCAGCACTGCGATGAGCTGCTCGCTGTGCCCTTTTCCTCAGCTGCACGTGGTGCATTTCAACTCTAAGAAGTACAGCAATGTCTCCGTGGCAGCAGACAAGTCGGACGGACTGGCAGTGCTGGCGGTTCTGATTGAGGTGAGTGGGGGAGGGGCCTGTGGAGAGGAGGCGGGGCCACACTGCCTCGGTTTACATCATGCTGACCTCACACTGCCCCCTCTGGCAGGTTGGTGAATTCAACCCAGCTTTCGATCAGCTGCTCAAGTTCATCAATGGTGTCAAATTCAGAGGTATCTTACTCAAATTACTCATGCAAAAATATTGTGTTGCTACTTCCTCCTTCCAGGAAATTCATGCTTGCATCCCTTCCAGCAAGCCATTAAATAGCAGTTATTCCATGTAAAGCGGTGTTTCCTACGCTAGTCCTCAGGGAACCCCAGACAGGCCACATCTGTGCTCCCCCCAGCACTCCTGTACCCGGTACTCGGTGTTCTCGATTGTTTGGTTCAGGTGTGTTGTGAGCTGGGAGGGAGTAAAGATGCGGACCATCTGAGGGGCTCCCAAGGACTGGGATGAGAAGTACTGGTGTAGAACATCACCGCCTTCAGCCATCCACCTCTCAGGTCCGCTCTGATGGTGGCTTGTTCACCATAGATCAAAAAGTGCAGGTTCCCGCGTTCAATATCCGGCACCTCCTTCCGCTACGGCTCGACCAGTATTACCGCTATGATGGCTCCCTGACTACGCCCCCCTGCTACCCCAGCGTGCTGTGGACCGTGTTCCGGAACCCCATCACTATCTCCCACACACAGGTACTCTGCCTACAGGGGGCGCTGTCGGCCAGCTTCTGGGCACCACATGCTTGTACATGCACTAACCGCTTGGTGCTCGTATCGGCTGTAGTTATGGCCTTTGATGGAGTGATGGTACAACGTGATTGGACTGATTCTGAGAAACTGAGTGAATGTCTGACCGAATGCAGTGGATCCTCACCGCTGATTCCTCCAGTCCTTTATGATTTTCTGTACTGAGGATTTCCAGGCAACACTGTGCAACCATGTGTCTGTTGTCACCACACCAGTTCCTGACTCTGGCCACCGCGATTTACTCCTCAAGAGAGCGAGAGCCGATCCCGGTGCCCCTCGACGGGAACTACAGGACCCCGCAGAGCACAGACCAAAGGGTCATCCTGGTGTCTTTCCGGGAAGGTGAGCTTGGGGCTGCCATTTAGGTGGAGTCTGTGTCAGCAGTAGGGTGGGGTGGTTTGGGAGGGTGCATGTGCTGATTCCGATTGGCTGCCAGATATTCCTGTCTGCTACGTTTCACTATATTTGAATTTGGATGTTTTAGGTCAAGTAGAGGCAACATTTAATAGACCTTAAACATAGACAGTGGGGCCAGACCGGGGTGAAACACAGGCAGGTCAGGGAGAGAATTACGGAGGACAGAAATGACGGGCAAGGTTCCTGAATGGTCCTGCTAGATGGTCCCTTGAGATGGTCCCATGCCATTCTTCTACAAGTAAGTCTACAGTGAAGACAAGAAACACTAGTATAATGGCCTGTCCATGTAGCCTCATGCAACAGATGATTAAAAGGCCTGTCAAAGACAGCAAGTCTTATCCTCCACCGTAAAACAAGAATCGGCTGCAGATGTGAACATCTCACCGGGCAGTGAAGGACTCCTACAGCAGAATGCAGATAGTCACGCTGTCTGATGGCGCGTCACAGCCCACTAGGTGTGTCCCCAAGGCGGCTTCCCAGAGAACCTCATGTATAACTGAACTGCTGAAGCTCACTGACGCAAAGTGTCTGCTAAGGGCTGTTAGCATATCTAATACCATTATCTGTCACACAGTTCAGCTCCAGTCGCATGGAGAAGCCCAGTAAAAGTTCCCCCCACGTCTGTCTCCTCGTCTCTTTGATGATGATGATGATGATGATGTGTTACACGCTTCTGCTCTGCACACATTTGCAGTTTCCACAGCCTTCGTGAGTGAAAACCATGACGATTGTCTGTCATTGTGTCCTATTCCCTGTCACTGAAGGCCCACCCTGCGGATAAGCTGACCCGTCCTTTCACATCCCCTGTACCTTCAGTTACACAACTGCTGAGGAGATTTTTCATGTCAGACATTATTTACTTTGACCTGTGACCTAATGTTCCCATACTTTTCATTTCGATACATCATTCACACATAATGTCGCCATAGCAACTAAAATCTGTGATCTACCATATATGACATATATTAAAAACTGCTGGATGAACTTCACTTGGTTATTTTTAGTTGGGCACTAAAAAATTATCCTGTTAATCATATGTGCATGTAAACAGTCAAACCAGACAGACAAAATCTGTCTAAATATATGTCTGAGGATGGTCACATGAGCAGCGTCACAGAACATGCCAGATGCCATAAAGGCCTCAGCCCGGTAATGTAGGACCATGATACCCCACTGCAATACACATCATTAAAAAGGGCCAGAATCGTGAGGCATCACCTGCTTGTGAGTGAGATCTGCGTGGGACTGTGTGCGCAAATTAAAATGTCGAATGACAGCAGATCAGGAAAGTTACCGTTAACAGCCTTCAGCATGTGGGGGTAACAGTTTCCATAACCCTAACCCCCCCCGCCCCTCCCTCCCATGTGACACCCCCCAGCCAGCCTGGCAGCAGCCACCTTGCGTCACGCATTTTTGCTTGTGTCTGATGCAGGCTGGGCCTCCCACAGTTCCTTGTCATTGACTCCTCCCATCGCGAGGAGGCGAATCGTTCAGAACCTGCTGTCCGGAGACCTCGGGGACCTTGCCGACGACGGGATAGCCCGGCTGCTGCCCAGTCTCGGCCGCAAGCTGGGAGTCGGTTCAAAGCCGACCGGCCACAATAAGCAAAACCGCTGGAGGCAGAACTTTCCCACACGGAGTGGCGCCACCCCAGCGTTTTGGAAGCTGCCCCCGGCCACAAGCTCCGTCGGGCAGTTGGGTTTTTATGAAGACAGCCTGTGCTACGTCTCCATCGAGCAGAACGTTATCGAGCACCTAAAGGGAGCTCCCGGCGGGGGCCGGCTGGTGGAGGCCCTCAGGGAGACGCTCTTCCCAGAGCTGAACGTGAGGAGCTACCTGCACTGCAGATCTGAGCTAACACTACCCACCATCAGGTACCTCCTCCGCAGCCGCGCGACGGAAGAAGCACAACAGCTGGAACGTTCTCTGATGAAGGCAGATGGGAGGCCCTGGAAACATCCAACAGACCGGGCCATCAGAAAACAGCAGCAGTCCACGTTGGAGGAGGAGGAGGCACGTGACAAAGTGCGACCTCATCCCTGGCCCCTGGGCGTGGAGTGGGAGGACTGAGGAGCACGCATGGCGGAGAAAGATCATCACTGACGCTCAAAGTCACCATGAGTGACGCATCGACATGCCGGGTGACAACACAGACATCAAACCACAGGCTCATAATACGACCACGTCATTTTGTCATCTGGTCAAGTTCCTGAATCCTGCCTTTGATAAAATATCATGATGAAATCAATTTATTTATGTATTTGGGTGTTCAACTGATATGCTTTTTATGCCATATGAGTTATGCATCTCTGGAATTATGTTTTATAAATATAAAATTTATGTTCATTTTGTATCTGGTAAAAGATAATGCATTACAGCAGTTCGCATGGGGGTAATGGTGAATTTTTTTAAAGGATGACTCAAGGTTGCGGTGACATTTCCGTAATGTACTGTTGGCAGTTTATAGCACATCTGTTCTTCTTGATAATACAGGTCCTATGACACTCTCAGAGATCGGAGGTGACTCCTTTTTAACTGCCTGTGCCTGTTTCTACATTTCTCATGCTCTCCTCTCTTGTTTTTCTTCCTGCTCCAAAGAGATGCATCTTTGGCTGACCTTGGGTATGTTACCAGAACAAGCCCGTCCTTCTGTGTCTAACAGACCTGGATCACTCACTCTCACTAACCATCAAATTATAGTACCTTTAGGATGCAGGAAGTGCACATTTTTACTGCTCAATACAGGAGTGATTTTTTATTTTTGGTTGTTGGCACATAACCCTTAAATTCCCGGCTCCAATGCCAACCACCTGTTAAGTTTTAAGTGCATGACTTAATTTTCCCAGAATGCTCTACTTTGTACAAATATTGGCTCCTGCCACATTATTCACAATTTTTAATCTCTCCAGTGCCACTTTCCAGTTTTTCGCTTTTTAGCATGAATTACTTCAGGTCAGATGCTGACTTAGCAGAGCACCAGCCAAACGCACAAACACTGAAAGTATCCCAAGCAGACCTGCCTCATTCAACCCCAGTGTGAAACGAGTGTGTGCTGCTTATTCACAGCTTTTATTGTATTCAAACTTTAAACTGCTTTAACATTGTTTAACCTTTACCATTAACTTAATGAAATACAGCAGCGTCTGTCAGAAGTGTTATTAACATGCATTTAAACATGTTTAAAGGCATTAAATCGTTTAATTTTAACGTGTGCATAAATTCAAGGAAATTATTTGTTTGCATGACAAGTATGGTAATTACTGTTTGCTATGCTTACTGTACTTTTGAGATTATGTATTATGTTTGATAAGATAAAAATGTAAGCATATTGAGGAAGCACATTTAAATGTATTTGTTGTCAGTTTGGCTCGAATGAATTTCGGACCCCCATTTCTCTTCCCGCACTTCCTGTTTCTGACTTCCTGTTGAGTAGTGCCGTGCCGTTTGCTAGCAGAACCCGCTCCCTTGCCTTGCAGGTCTGCCCGTTTCTTTCGTCGGGGCCTCAGTTATAGGATTCGGGCTAATTTTCATTTTCACCCGGAGCAAGTTAAGAACAGAACGGTAAGCGTGCCACAGATGTGCTTTCACAGAAAAGCTCCTCAGAAACTTTTTACCCAATTAACGCATGCAGCAGCGCGCCTTGGTCTTAGCAGGGAGTGTCACTTTTCTGTCAGACATTAGGTGACATGATGGCCACTAATGGATTATCACACAGCATGCAGCCAGCAGAGAAACCTTCTGGATACCTTCTAGCCTCAAGTCTGGAAAGAAACTTTAGGCAATAAGGCTTGTTTTAACATGTAATTTATCAAAAACGACGTAACAGACAGTAAAGGGGGCAAAGACATACAAAGGTGGGTAACATGGAAAATTAAGAATATTTTTTGTCTTCAGAGCAAAGAGAAATCAAGAACGAAACAAGAACATTGTAGAGAAGCCAGAAGGAGACCACGGTTTTTCCGAAGTGTAACTTGTCACCCCCCAGAAGAAGAAGAGTGATTCAGCACCGAACAGCATCCAGTACATTCTGTGTAAACTGACCCAGTTGGCTCTATGAGGTGGACACAGATGTTTCACAGTCCCCACATGCTGCGTTTTGATCAAATGAAAGTGCACAGGGCTCTTTATTTTCTGAAATTCACAAAATAAACAGAGTGTGGTAAAAAGGTGACCTGGAACTCGGCCATTCAAAGAGGAGCAGTTCAGAAAAAAGCAGGGTGATTCAGAGAGGAACGAAATGACTCCGAGAGCAGTGATTCAAAGAGGAGCAATTCAGAGAGCAGTGGATCAATTCAAAGAGGAGCAGGGCACAGCAGGGAGGACTGATCCAGAGAGGAGCAGGGCAATTCAGGGAGGAGCGACTCAGAGGAGTATGGTAATTCAGGGAGGGGCAATTCAGGAAGGAACAGGACAATTCAGAGGGGCGTGATTCAGACAGGAGCAGGTAATCCAGAGAGGACCGATCCAGAGAGGAGCAGGCCGATTGTGGGAGGAGCACTTCAGAGCGCGTCGTGTTTGGGGAGCTGCCTTCACCGTGAGCTGTAACGGGACGGCAGGGCACCGCGAACGCCGCCGCGCACATGACTGGGGTGAAAGCACCCAGGGCTGGGCGGCCTGAAAGGACGTTACTGTGATGCTTCTAGAATCATCCAGGGCTTAAAAGACTCTTCTGTACCAATTGTGACAAAGAAACACAGAGCTTTATGCAAACAGTGCAACAGGGCCCGTTATCTAGAATACGGCACAGACCGAGCCTTTGTCACCCGCAGTGAGAGAGGCGCAGAAAGGGGACGAGCCTGTCATCAGCAGGGCGCCCCCACCCCCGCGTCTCCTGATCCCACTACAGAAACGCTCCGCTCTTTCTCTATTGTACAAGCGGGGCGTCCCTGGGACTCGGTACTGTGCAGCACCAAGGCCCTGGGTGGGGGGGACACATTAATGCAATTTTGGCATCGCTCACTCCAATACACCATAAACAATGCTTATGGGGAGCAGTACTGCCGGCAGCCATTGGGGGGCAGTAATGCACAGAATTCAGTTTCGCCCCAGTTGCTCAGAAGCCAGATTTAAGCGTCACTGTCACGCTGATATGGCCGGTGTGTTTAGAAATGTTTCCCAAAGTGCTTGTATTGCTATAATAAAAAATTCATTGTCTGTGCAAGCTTGCATTTTTGCCTCAATCTGTCAAAAGGTGAAATGTTAGCCCAAAAGGTGAATCATGAAGTAAGGATCTCTGAAGCGCTGATTTGGCAAATTTATTTTACAAGCATTCATTATTATTGACATTATTCATTCGGGTTTTTGTCTTTTCAAAAAACATTAATTAAAAAAAACAAAAGTATAAACTACAATCGTATCCATTTCTGCAGACCACAAAATGATTTTGTCTTGTTTAAGAACATCACCACATTAAGTCGTATTGCATGACTCGCCTGTATTTTAACCGTTTCTGAAATCGTACAACGCACCTGTGCAGAATCTGCATATCCTACAAACGAATGTAGTCGAGATTAAAGGAGAAGCTGCATGGAGAGCCTCTATGAGTCACCTTCCTGTTCACCTGGAGATTCAGTCACCCGCACCCCACACAAACGACAGGAAAACAAAACGTGTTTCTTCAGGTACCCACAGCAAAATTGTTTAATTGGCTTTCCCCCCAATTACAACTAAAGCTACAGCAGACTTGCCAAAATGGGGGGGCTCATTTAAACAAGGACCCCCAGAAAACATCAGTACATACCCCCCCCCCACACCATTGCAAATAAACTTGCTATAACAACATAATAAAAACAAGCTGACATATTTCCTAAGCATGACGGTATTATATACAGACAGAGTTTTTCCAATGTATGATGTCAAGACAGAGGAAAGCAGTGAGGACAGCCCTGCAGACCCCAGAACGGCAGAGGGTTTCCCTGATTTCGGAGAGATGATACTTATTCCCTGTTGCATTCTGGGAAAGGTCAGACCCCAGTGACGACATGATGGCGATGAGGGGTGATTGCGGCCTGCCCCCCCCCCCCCCCCAATAAGTGCTGTTTGACGAAGACATGGGAGCCTAGCTTCCTGCCTGCTGAACAGCAGACTACAGGCGCTGAGGATTCCGGGTCAGCACAGGTTCTCCTGTACTGGACCCCAAAGCCCGTGAAAAGTGACTGTACAGATACCGATTCAGGAATACTGCAGGCTGTGGAGGATGTCACCTTTCTGCTCCCGACAGACTTTCCTGATTGGCTTCATTTCAATCTCTCTCTTATACTTGGCCAATTCAAAAGCAGGGAAAAAAAATTCTCTGTTGGCTCCACACCCAGAATTCAAAGTGCCAGGTTTTTGTGATTGAGAAGGGGGGGGGGGGGGGGTCATGTCTGGCTCACTTCCAGCCGTTACGGGAACCCAATGGGGGATGTCATCAAAACTCAAGGTTATGTGATAAAGCTACAGTGAGCGAGCAGGAATATGAAAGATGGGATGATGTCAGCACAAGAACACCATGACAAAGAAGCACAGAATATTAAACCATTTAATCAATATGCATAAATATATTACTGTGGGTCACCACTTCATGTTTAAACTGAAAAAAGTCACGAAAACGCAAAGGGTGAGGTTTCAAGGGGCCAGAGGAGAGAGCGGGCAAGCGGCAGGGCATCAAGGGGGTGCCGCTACTTAAAGGGGCTATGATTTAAGGGGGGGGGGGGGACCGAACGCGAGGTGGAGGAGGAAGGCACAGCAGCGTCAGCAAGTACCGTTCCCACAAAAAGGTAAGAGTATGTGTGTCTTCGCATGTTGGTGTGCAATTGTGTAAGAGTGTAAAATATGCCACGGACCATCATCGTGAAGGAGGTTTTATGGACTTTAAAGGTAAGACGACAGTGTTTTTCCTGCAGCTGGCAGATTTCATCAGTGTGGCGGCTGACAGGGCCTAGAGAGCCTCCTCAGTGCCAAGCAGGATCACCGGAGTTTGGGCAAGGCTGCAGCCCGCTCTCAGGGAAAGTGGCACCGCCCCCAAAATAGTAACAATAATCATTGTAATTCCAGTGCTTACCTACGCAGCAAACTACAGACAGCACAGAGGAATGGTAAGGGGAGGGCGGCACCCTGCGTCTCTCGCTCTCTGCCACCGATAAAGTCCCAGCAAGACTCCTTCATGCTATCTGGACCGGTGATTGGCCAGCAGGAAGTCCTTGTCTTTGCAGGTGAGGCAGAGCTTGAGGTTACGCAGCGACCCCCCCGCGCAGAAGAACGCCCAGCCTCCCATCAGCAGCGTCACCAGGTAGGCGGGGATCAGGCTGCCTTCGTACTGGGGGTTCAGGAACGTCTGCAAGGGGCAGCGATCACCTCTGAGGGTGGGGATGCCACGCCACCGGCCACTAACGCCTGACCGCAGAGGCGTCTGAGAAGACGGGAGGGTCAGAAACCACACGAGGTCACTCCCCAACGCCCCATGACCGCAGCTTACCATACACGACACGAAGAGGTGGCTGCCAACCACCACGGCCACGGACAACCACTTCTGCTTCTCACAGGCTTCGAAGAAGACCACCCCCCAGAACATGTGCAGGAGGATGATGGCCATCGTCATGAAGGCTGCGGACAGAATAGATCCTTACCCCTGCCATCCGGGTCCAGACGGACAGCCTGGCCTGCATCTCCAGCTCACACTACTACAGCAGTGCCTACTCAATTTCACTTTCCCTTCACATTAGAATGAGTGCAGGATCCCTCTGACACAAACATCATTAAGCAATTTATGTAACTATGAAGACATCTAGAGTGTGAACCTACAACCATGTGTGCATTACTCAGATCAGATCACACAGGAAGCTATGTGACGAGAGAGAGAGAGAGAGAGAGAGAGAGAGAGAGAGAGAGAGAGAGAGAGAGAGAGAGACTGTCCACCAGGGTCAAGGCCTGCTGGGAGACTCCCACTCTTACCTGAAGAGATGAAATAGTGCTGAGAGTCGCCATGGATGCCCACTGTGCCCGGACCCAAGGAGTCGGCCAGAATGTTGACCACCGAGAAGGACCCGCTCATGAACCCAAACCCCAGGCCAGACACTGTGGGCACAATTTGGCACATTATTACGGTTACACAAGCGAGGGCGGTACCATGTGACTCGGAATCATTCCGTGCGTTGATTCACCATTACTTATTCTACATTTATATAACATTCCCTTCTTTTCATCTATCCATCCATCCATCCTGCATTGCTTCAACCGCTTACCCGACAAAGGGTGGTAGGGGGGGGAAGTCAATGACAGGCGGCATAGGAGTCGAGGCAGGGATGCCATTTAATCACAGGGTGGGCACACAGACACAAACACACACAATGGCTGACAATGCCAACCAGCCTGACTGCATGTCCCTGTATTGTGTGAGAAATAGGAGCAGCCGGAGAGACCCTGCGTGTCACAGTGAGGTCATCTCGAGATTTGGGCCAAGGGTTGAAACAGGCGGGGCAGACATACCATAGGCCAGCTGACGCACCGATATGGGCATGGTGTCTTCCTGACTAAGAGCAAGCAAGCCTTGGTTTGCTTTCCTAGAAAAGGAGAAACATTAACAAAGTTACATGTATGAATTCTTCAATTTCGTGGTTTGCTACTGTTTCTGGACTCAAAATTACCCATAAGCAAGCCTGTGTGTGCACAGGACAGAGAGACTAATGGCATGCTTCTTAAGATTAACCACAATGCAATGTGGAACCAAAGAGTCTCACTTTGTAAAGCAGCAGCCCTCCCGATGAGATGGCCACTGGGCTCTGGACCAACGCTGACAAAGAGGGCGTTGTGTGTCGCGTTTACGCACAGTCACCACGAGTGAGACACTGCAGCAAAGCCACCCCCCCCCCTCCATCCCTCCCAGGCCCCAAGAAGGTGGTCACGGAAGAGCCCTAGGGGCCTTACTTTAGCAGTTTGTAGTAGGCGAATCGGAAGACTTCCTGCAGGAGGACGGAGAGCACCACGCCGAAGACGAGCAGGCCCTTCTGCTGCGAGGCGCTTTCCTTGTTACTAGCCTGCACGGCGATGAACCAGACCAGCGAGGACAGCAGCAGCGACACCAGCCAGAAGAAGGCGCTGCAACAACAAGGGGCCGGTCTGTTAGTTCCCTGCTGCGGGCTGCTGTTCTCACGGGGCTCTGTGTGCGTGTATATATACACGTATAATAAAAACCAAAGCAAAACCACAAACATGGCATGTTCAATTCAATTTATTCTATTTTTATTCAGCCCCAAGGATGAGTTACCTAGAGGGCCTGGAACTGCCACCGGTGCCCTACTCTGGCCGCTGGAAATTATAATTTAACATTTGTCAACAAAATTTAGTTTTACGAAACATTAATTTTAATACCAAAAGCACTGTCAGACAATCACGTCACCTGCGTCAAAAGCGAAACCACAGGCGATTTCTGCCGTAGAACCATTATAAGCAAACTGGCGCCGCTCTTCGCATCACGCCGGGCCGGCGGGCATTAAGGAGGCGGACTCACCCGGCGATGAGGAAGATGACCCGCAGCGGATCCCGGGCGATGGTGAAGAGGAAGAGAGCCGCGGCGGGGCCGAAGGCGATGAAGGTGCAGCCGAAAAACACCGCCGTGGTCATGGCGGGGCCGGACTCTTACTCGCACACTCACTCGGATAAATCCCTCTGCGACACGGCGGCCCACCTTTCATGTGGATAAAGCGCTCTGCTCTCAAACCGAAAGTGTAAATAACCTCATTGCTGCCGCAACCCACCCGGACGGCTTCGCTCCGACATCGACGGCCAGTTCTCTTCCTGTCCAAGCCAAAATAGCACATGACTCAGAGCAGAGCTTTAGCGCAGTACCTGGGCACAGCGACACCTAGAGGCCGGATGATTCAACAGCTAACACTAAAAATAAAATGCAATAAACGCTGTAATACATTACACTAAACCTCTATGGCTCGCGGGTAACACCTCCAAGCTCGGGAATACGGATCCCACCCCGCGTTGGGTGTTCTCGCCGAGATGTGTTCTCCTCAAGTTTCCTCCGGCAGTCCGAACACATGCAGTTAGACTAATTGGCGTCTCTAAAATGCCTGCAGAGTGTAATTGCGCGCACGCGCGCGTGTGTGTGTGTGCCCTGCGATAGACTAGCATCCAGTCAATGCTGTGCCTTAACCTTGTCTCAGTCCTGCTTATCCAGGTGAAATTCACGATGATCTTGAGAGAGGCGCCGCTAGAGATTTTGGACCACATGAAAACCTGTCACCATTGGAATCGTCCTGCCCCCCCGCCCCTGGAGCTTGAAGCAGAAAGTGGATACACACCTACACTCACGCGCTCACGCAATTTAGTGTACTTAATTACATGCATGCAGCTTGTATCGCTAATTACGATTGGTTAAGATGACAAATGGACACTTGCTTGACTTGTAAGGATCATGACAGGTTTCATCTGTTTTACATGAAATCAAACAAGGTCAGTGTAGCTGTGCGGAAAATATTGAATTTGTGATAAGTAAATAATAAATTTAAAAATCTGTGAATATGATTAAACTAAAAATGTTTGACTAAAAAGTTTTGTATTTTGTTTGACTATTTATGGCTACGGTTATGGCTGGGTATATGGGCTAAGGTTATCAGGTTGGGATTAGAGTTTTCCCCTATAGAAATGAATGGAGAGTCCTCACAAAAACATAGATACCTAATCTGTGTGTATGTGTGTGTGAACTGCAACCCACATTACCCCGAAACTTCTAGTTGGGTGGATGGATAGATAGATAGACCGACAGACAGATAGGGCACAAAGCGTGATGTTGCGTGTGAATTGATAAGCCTAGGCATATATATTTTTGAAAATAGTACAATAGTTAATGCTGACATGCTATTAAAAGTAATACATTTATATGTAAACACGAAAAATTGTAGTTGTAGAAATGAAACTATAGAGGCCGCTATTTATCAATTAATAAACTATACCTACCGTTTCAATTCTATCTATCTATCTATCTATCTATCTATCTATCTATCTATCTATCTATCTATCTATCTATCTATCTATCGATTACTTGCCCAATTACTTGAACGCCATTGATGAATGAGAGACGTTCAGTCACGAGACAATGTACAGCATCTTATTGCAGGACCGGCATAAAGCAACAGCATGTAGCAAGATAATGCAATAGCCCCTACATATTAATTAATAAGCTTTAGGTGAACAGGGAATGTTTAACGCAATGACGTCACGCCATCAGGGTTCCGACCCGCTCTGGTTGCAGAGTTTACATGTTATGCCCTTGTTTACTCGGGGTTACAACGGGTGCCCCGGTTTCCCTCTGCGACTAAGTGAACTGATGCCTCTAAATTGTCTATTTACGTGAGTGTGTGTACTCTGCGATGGACTGACGTCCCGTCTAGACTATCCCTTGCCTGTGCCCTTCGCTTCTTATGGAATCATGGACGAATGGAGAAATTCTATGAAGACAACAGATTTTTTTTAGATCACCTACAGCTCATATACCTGCAAGTTTGACTATGAACTGAATGTAAAAGTCATGAATCTGTAATATCATGCGCCAGGATCGGTAATGTATTGCGCAAAGCAGCAGTCATAAAAAGTGCGTGCAGGTGCCGAAATGAAGAATAACGCTGGACTGTGATCGTGTCAACAAAGACATCCACATCTCTGTGCCTTTGTCTAGTATATGATGATGGCAGAGTGTTTTGTGCATTACAGTCACTACAGCAAACTGCAGAGCAGCAGACAAAAAGCATAAGTCTTCAATTTCCAAGAAGGGATATCAGCTTACTTTTTAAATATATTTTTAATCTATACATTTTAAAGTTAGGCCGTGTCCGGTCACTCTGGTCATTGTTATTTTTACTGAAAATAAAAGACGCATTGGCGTATTTATATCTAGCGGATAAACTAAGCGCAGTAGTTGAAATAAAACCGTTACTATTTCCAGAAACACAATCAAAGATGGGACTACAGTATGATTCCCAGAATGTCTGGGCAGAGGGACCATGAACTCACTCTTGCTCAGATGCAGGTCCCTGGGTTTTATTGCCAAGAGAAGAATGCAGCGGTTTCTGAACGAGGCGTCGCCTAATTTTGGAGTGCAGATCCCATATTCATTTTAGATAGCGTTTACAATGCGGTACAACCGACGAAGTCTGACTACAACATCGGACCTGCGAGTCCAAAAGCTTTCCAGAAGATGACCACTTACCTAAACCTATTTTTTCATGATAATGTGCGAAGTTATTACATTATTTTAACTGATTCTATTACAGGATAGGCCTAGGTATTTTTAAGAATAGATAATCAAAAATCTAAATTTAAAGCAGTGTCATATTCTACTTGATTTTAAATGAAAATTCAAATGAATCTGAATACATGCACAAGTCTTGTTTGGTAAATGAGAGGTCACTTCCAATATTCACATTTACATATATATATATATATATATATATATATATATATATATACACACACACACACAATGTTTTCATTGCATAAATTGCTATGCTATGCCAAATGTGTTGCACCATTACAGATCTAGCTGTTATCAATTTAAGTGCAAATACAAGCGTGTTGAACGTGAATAAATACAACATAATAAAATTTGTGAGTGCAGTTTCGCAAAAGGATTTTTATAAAATATTTAGTGTTGGTAATAAATATTTGAAGGTTTTTTTTACTGTATTAGTACATGACAATTAAGTGCACTTTCTGCATTCAATATTTTGCTGAACGATAAACCCATAAAAACGGTAGGTATACTTACGCCTAATGTAGAAATACTAAATATTGCATTTTTTTAGAAAAAAAAATCTGACTGTGAAATAAATTCATTTCGTTGCCTAAAATACCACAGACACGAAAACATGAAAACGTGGCATATTATGTAGTTTTCCATTTCTGAAGAATCAACGTGAAACACGACAAAGCGAACTTGTTTTTTACCATGTTCGAAGAATGAATGTGAAGGATCTCGTTTTAAAAATCTGCGTAATTTATTTTTTTAACAGATTCAATCAGACCTAAACGATAGAACTGGTGCTATCAACTCTTGAGAAATTTGGATTTTATGACAATCTATTTCAAAGACCTGAAAAGACCTAGTTGTAATGAGAAAATAAATTGCAGTGTTTCAGTATGTAATTAATAGGACTGTTAGTTGGATTTATTTTCACTATTCCATACGTAATACTAAAAATACAATTTAACCGGAGTTAAAAGTTAGTCCAAGGAGGCAAAGTTTAGAATTCAATAGGCCTATATTAAGTATACATGTACATTTGGAAGTAACTAAATTAAAATGTTTAACAAGGCTGAAGAAATTTCAAATAGATCAAATATGATATACAACAACATTGTCATATTGAATTCTATATTGCGTTTACAAAACCGACGCAATAAAGTACAATAGTACTGTTCGCTTATTTAATCTTCAATTACGAAGAACAAAGCGTTACACTACAATATAAACATATTTGTCTTAAAATGGTTCCCGGCGACGTCGGGAAAAGGTGCAGGGATCCAGGCGTGATATTTGCGTCGCGATGCCCTGTAGCTTTAACGTGCGGTTTGTGGGAGAGGCTGCGCGTTCACGAGCCCACCCCTTTTCAGCAGAAGCGGGAGTGCGCAATGAATCCCAGCCAAACTCTCCGCAAACAGAAAAACACTCGGGGCTGCTCGGCATCACACTGCGAGAAAAATGCCGTTTTCGCCAGCTACCATTGGAAAAAACTGCTGCCAAACAAATAAAAGCATATGCAGTATATCCGAAGAAAATACTTTGATTAACAATTAATTGTATTTTGAATTTATATGCCCGAAAGTGCTCAGATCAAAGAATACATAGAGGACTGAATAAACTGTCAAAGGTAAGATTATTTTGGAAGTATTAAGTTTGTTTTGGTACTGTTGCATTGATTTTACGATAAGAACTACAATACGCGATTATCCCGTGGAATACGATTTAGTTATTTTAGATTTCAGTTGTTTATATGACAGTAATTATGCTGTTAGTATAAACACGGTCTTCAGATTAGAAAACATTGTACACTGAAAGTTCAAAATATGGATATACTGAAAACGTAGAATGAAAGACGTACTTTTCAGCACCAAGGACAGAGAGCTGGCGACCCAAACGACGTGAAATCAGCGCTGTTTTCTGCTAGTGCAGCTATGCAACCTGTCGACAATGCAACGACTCGCGATTTAGGCAGTTAATAATAAAATGAGCCGTTTAAAACTTGCTCCATACTGTAAATGGATGAGTGGTTTCATTCTTTCGGAATATATACTAAATGTACAGTATATTTCAGAATCCAGAAAGTAGCATAGATACTTTCAGCTGTATTAGACTATGTAGAAAGATGTTATAGTTTACTTTTGTATCAACAATTCCTTATTATTACGCCGTTCTGTATCATTATTACAATAATAAGTCTAATTCGCGTACCGTTGTGTTATACGGTATGCTTTTCTGATTCTTATATAGATAACCAATTATGAACTCATTCCCACTTTATTAAAACCACATTTTTGTGAGACAGAAGCCCAAATGCTTGTAGCGTTATTAGTTTTTGTACCTTTTTTCAAAACATCTTATACATTTGTCAAAAACTTCCGGAACATATAGCCTAATTGTTTAACAAATGTTTTGCAGGTGCTGGAAGAAGGACAACGATGGATCTCTGTCACCTGGCTCTGTGGGCTGCTCTCATCAGTCTTGCACAGTGCTGCCCAGAACCATGTAGCTGTCAAGACAAATACGCTCATCAGTTTGCCGACTGTGCTTACAAAGACCTGCTGGAGGTACCTGTAGGACTGCCAACCAATGTGACGACTCTCAGTCTCTCTGCTAACAAAATCACCCTGCTAAAATCCAAGTCCTTCGTGAACGTTACTCAGGTAAATTCACTGTGGCTGGCGCACAATGAGATCGTTACCATAGAACGTGGCACTCTGGCACCGCTGGTGCAGCTACGAAACCTGGATCTGAGCCACAATAAAATCGTGAACTTCCCATGGGAAGATCTCTACAACCTCACTGCCGTACAGCTGCTGAAGATGAACAACAACGAAATGGTCAGTCTGCCTAAGGATGCCTTTTCCACTCTGAAAGACCTGAGGTCACTCCGTATTAATAACAATAAGTTTACCACCATCGCACAGGGCACCTTTGATGCACTGAGCTCCATGTCCCACCTTCAGATCTTCAACAATCCATTCAAATGCTCCTGCAGACTGGAATGGTTAAGGGATTATATTTCTGATGCTAAAATTTCAATTCCAGAGCAAACCTCTATCATGTGCGAGACCCCCACACATCTGAAAGGTATGCTGGTCGTGAAAATGCCGAAATTAGAGTGCGTCGCTCCAACTGTGAGTATAACTTACTTGCCCAATATCGAGAACACTGAGCTCTATGAGGGTTTCATGTTGATATTGAACTGTGAAGCCAAAGGAAACCCACACCCAGACGTCAAGTGGGAAATCCGTGCTGGAAATGAGAACATTGAGTTCATCTTACCCAGTCCGGTGAGTGAAAAAAATGACCTGCCTGTAGATTCCAAAATGGTGGACAACCGATTTCAGGTCTTTCAAAATGGCACCCTCATCATCCCCCGCACGAGCAAGAAGGAGGATGGTAATTACAGCTGCTCGGCCACCAACGACTTAGGAAGAGCCGAGAGCTCAGTCAGGGTCATTGTGGCAGGTACCAAAAAACAGCCTAAGAGTTCCATGGACACCACAGCAGAAAGGAAGAATTTATTCGGACGTCAACCCGACACTAAGGCCTCCAAAAACAGCGTGATCACTTGGTCTAGGTCTGAGGAAAAGAGCAAGAACATCCCCACCGGTTCAACGTACATCACTGAGGACACCGTGCAGCCTGGCAAGGATCCAGCACAACCAACATTCGCCAACAAATGTGGCATAAATGATGGCACCATATATGTTTCGAACCATGCCTTTAATATGAGCTTAGAAGAGCTGAAGCAGTATACCTTCGATTTTGGGGTCATTGCACTAGAAGTATCAGAAACTGAGGCCAAAGTCCAGCTCAATCCTCTGCAGCTACCCAGCTCAAAGACAAATCTACACCTCAGTCCATCCCAGGAACTTGAAACTGTGAATAAAGAAGCTTCCAGCCAAACATCACCCAAAAAGGTGCCCCTAGATATGCTCTACTTATGCGTAAGTACGGGTAATGGGCACTCTGTAGTTCAGTGGTCCAAGATTGAGGATGGCATTAATGCTTATCGTTTCCAAGGTCTGCAGCCAGGAACAAACTATACACTCTGCCTCACCTATGGCGGCTCTGACTGTCATGTCCAAGTCGTCTTCACAACAAGGAAGAAAATCCCTTCCCTGCTCATCATAGTTGTAGTTAGCGCGTTCCTGTTGGCCTTGGCCACTGTCCCCTTGCTAGGGGCTACTTGCTGTCACTTATTGTACAAATACCAAGGCAAGACATATAAACTGATCATGAAGACACAAAATCCAGATCAGATGGAGAAGCACATGGCTACAGACTTCGATCCCAGGTCGTCTTTTGTTGAATCTGAGAAGAACTTCAACCCTAGTGAGGCAGGCGAGGGAGAGGGAGAGGGAGAGGCGCAGAGTGAGGTAGGGGACGGTGAAGGTGAAGTGGAAGGCAGCGTGGTCACCGAATCCATTCCCGGATCGCAGTCCAAAACTAACAATGACGAATTTGAGGTGGGTTCCGAATACAGCGATCGATTACCCCTAGGGGCAGAAGCAGTGAATATCTCGGAAGAAATTAACGGAAATTACAAACATCCTGGTCGCTGACAGGTTTGTTGTCAGAGGTTAGAGGCTGTTGCTATCAACGAATTTAAAAAACCAGGTAATTTCCAGATCACTACTTCATACAGCACAGGAGTCCGTTCGTTCATATAAGCTCCCAAAAATCACATATGAGTATAATAAATATACATATGATGTTCTGTTGCGACAAACTCTTTTACCACCAGTTAATGTCATGGATTGGAGGGAATGTTTTAGAGGGACACCAGATATAAATACACTTGTATAAAGACATTGTAATGCATTCGAAACTAGAGGCACTTTTGTCGTTGTCATTTTATCGTTATCATTGATGTTTAGTAAAATAAAGAGCTCTAAAATAATACTCGGAAAAGTCGGTGAAAATCGCCTTTACCCCTGTAGACAGGAGCAAAATGACTAGTCGTTTTTAGACGTTTGTATCTGAGGATTGTGGTGCTGCCGACGGCACTTTCAGTACCCGCGTCTGTGCGTTTGACTATTATTACTCTGTAAGATATGACGGGAATTTCACGGTCAATAAAGGAGGGCATATACACGCTTTGGGGAATCCAAGCAACCACCAACAGTATTAAATATACTGTGGCGATTCTAACAGATGTGACTTGAAGCCCTTAAAATCACTGGTGCTTGATATTTTCTTCCTTTTCTCAGATTCCGAACGTGTCCTCGATCCCTTTTAGAGATGTTGTCCGTGGCATGTCACACATATGTATTTTCATGTGTGTTTTTAATAGTGTATAGGAAGTTAGATATACTTAATGTCATTATGTGATGTAAGCCCGGTGAAACGAAAATGTTTCTTTTTGTTAATGAACAAGGTCAGTTTGCATATGAACACCTTACGGCTTTGAGTGTAATGTAAAATGACTCATTGTGGGCTTTAAGTGACTAACTGTCCAGTTATATTTTAAAGATCCCTTTACATTTTTGATATCATTTTATGTACGTGGAATAAATAAAGTTCTTGAAAATAATAATCGCACTCATTTTTTGACAGTGAAATGTCAAGTGACTTTTAAATTCTACAATTATGAGTTTCTCTTTGGAGTTATGGTATTTAGGTCAGTATTTTTTAAATGCAAAAATATAACCGTAAATCTAATAATAGACCTACTATATCAATTTTTGTGGTTAAGAAAACGAACAGCCGCACTTATCCGCGGGAGGTAATAGTTTTGGGCGTTGGCCAGTTTGCGTGTCCGTCATAGCGATGCTAATGCAGCCTGACTAGATAGATTAAAATATAACTGGCATAACCAAACACGGGAGACATAAGTCTACATAATTTTTGAAGAAAAAAAAAACTTAGGATATTTGCGGTATTTGACGTGTTTAAATCCGTGGAGTCATAACTGACTTTGGTGTTCGACGTAATGAGTATTTTAATATTTCAGGAAAAAAAAAACTTAAAAACCAGTGTTCCACAAGTGTAACCTCCATAAATGTTTGACATGCATAGAAGAATTTCATATAACATCACTGCGGTTTGAAATACATTTTAGCGTGGAATCTGAAATAGCGCAGACCGCGCGTTTAATTGCAATCAGCTATTATTTAAAAACCCCAATTCCCAGAGTATATTACCATCCGTCTAACAATCCGTTTCTTATTAATATTTCTAGACCTCTATGGATAATCAGTACTGAAATTTAACCTGTAGTATAAAATGCACTTAAACGGTTTTCCGACGCTTTACTTTCCCGACTGTCGGCTCCCATCTCCGCCTTTTCATGTCTTTTTTTTCCATGCAGGACCTCCGGTTTCTTCTGAATTTCCGAAACATATTGCTCAGGTAAATTACCCACTGTGATCTGGCCCATGCAGACGATTCGACCTCTACTTCCCTTTAGCGGATCCCGGACGTGTACAGGATTATCGGACACATGTAATTAATATTCCTACAAATGTCCCAGAAGCAGCCAAACGCGACACATAACGTTAATACCGTTTTTACAATTAAAGTTTCAAAGTATTAGCAATACCCTGCACATACATTCGTGTACACAATGAGATGGATATCAGGAGTGTACCAATCATTAGTGAATGTAAGATAAACTGCCTGTTTGCCCAGTTTAACATTATTTTCGTCTATCGTAACATTTCCAAGTTATTGCTTAATTTGTTGTTCGGAGCAGGACGTTTGAGTTGTTAGGCCTATATGATTTCCCAAAACACATTAATAATAACTAGATGCATTAATCTTTAATACATATACATTCAAGGGCAGCCCATTGAAGTCTCATCTAGATAACCCAACACAGCAGAACATAAAGTGATGAATATCAAAACAAAATAAATTACCGTACTCTAATACAAGACTGAAAATCTGAATTTAAATCAAACTATTCCGTGACGGACGCCTAGCCTGTTAAAAAAAAAAACAAAGAACTTAGGCTACATAAGGGCCGCGCGAACAATGGCTTACTTCGCTCATACAAAACCGTGTTTCTTGAAAAAAAACATCTATATTTGTTACTCAGAAAAACAACAATTACAGTGTTTAATAACAGTACTATCAAAGTGCCATTACTGGACTGTACGTGAACATCGTGAAAACAGCGACCCCAGCAACCAGCGAGAATTTCACGCACGGAACAGATATGCTGCAGCGTAAATCACACCGCAAGCCCGCGCGCACTTGCACCCCTTCTGGCTCCATTGTCACCGCCCTCCTTGGTCGCGCGGCTAAGCGTCCCGTTCAGGAAGCTCTCCGAGCTCTGGCACCCGAAGTGTTTCCTGGAGGCCGCCAAAGCGGGGTTGTTCACCAGGGTGTAGAGGAGCAGCCACCGTGCCTGAGCCCTCCTGGCACTGGACTTGAGCGTCGGCTTCTTCTCCTTCTGGACCAGCCGGACTCCTGAAAGCCAAGGGGACCCCGGGCAGAGGACAGCACAGGGACTCAGGACTCACACATGCGAAGACGGCTGCAGACACACGGCTGAGAACTTCATTAAAAGACATTTCCGCACAAAAGCCAGTAGCGCAATTTAAATGTTCTTAAAATAATTAGCCCAGGGCTTCACATAAGCATTAAACACACAAGATTGTTTTTAAGGTTTCTTGTGAATAAGTCTCCGGACTTATTTTTCTTAAATTATTTGATATAAGGAATAATGCAAGATTTATTAGGAACTTAAATGTTAGATAATTTCAGAATAGGTATCCTACCCAAAACCCCACTTTCCCGACTTTGTAGATCTTAAGTAGAACATTCAATAAAATGATGGAGAGCAGTCGCCATCAAGCACCACACCCCCCTCGCCCCCCCGCCCCATGCCCAGGCTTTAACCATGTGGCCACACACCTATGGCACATAAACCGTCCACCTAACTGATGCCAGCAGCAGAGCTGCTTTGGTGTAGGAGGGGCATGACATCACTGTGCAGAACACACAGGTGGCAATAAAAATGGGCCAATCAGAGCGCAGCTGCAGCACAGCTGAGGGGCAGGGAGACGGCATGTAAGGCGGGGGCGTCTGGCCCGCTGAAAACAAGGGACCTCCCCAGGCTAAATGGGACAAAGCCTCCCGGGACCCACCTTCCTCTGCATCACGCAGCTGCAGGCCGGGAATGCCCCCCCCCAGCACGGAGCACAGGAGCAGACCACAGAAAGCCTTCATCACTGGGTGTGACTGGCTTGCCTCCATCATCAGGTAATAGGAATAGCAGCAGTATCCTGGGGGGGGTGGGGGTGACACACTGACTGGGAGTCTGAAAGTACCAGCAGATAGGTAACGCTTTTGCACAAATTAAAGGCTCAGCCCAGCCCGTCACCCGGGTTCTGCGCTCGGTGATCCGCCGGTGCTGCATTCATCCCACGCAATAACACGAGCGCTTTGCCACTGCTTCACCCCATACAGTTTCCCGGTCCACATCCATCTACTTACTGACAGAAAATTGCGCATCATTTTTAAAAGACGTCCATTAGCACAAATTGCCTGCTATTTTAATACTGTAATTTCATGGCTGGGAATTTGCATGATCTGGTGTAGACAACACAGCTAAAAATGTGTCGCTGTAATGAGATTCACATCCGGCTGATATGCATGGTGCTGCATCGCCAAGAGTTAGAGTGCAATGCTCAACACCTCCTTGTCATGCGGGAGACAAGTAACTGAATGCTGATACCGCAGCGACTGGCAGAGACTGAAAGCTGTTGCTATGATGACTGTTGCTATCCACTTTGAAGGCCACCCATGGCCCCACCCACCTGGGTCAAAGGCCTCCATTCCCCGGCTGAGCAGGCTGATGTCCATGCGACACAGGTGCACCATGTTGAAGAGGCCCGTGATTACGATTCTCCACACCCCCAGTACCAACCCCAGCAGAACGTTGACTGGGAAGAGCAGGTAGGCCATCAGGAAAGGGCCGCTCCTGTCGAAGGGGGTGAGCATTCACACATTTCGCCGACTGGTTACTGGACAGAACGAGCATGGTTCTATGAGGCACTGTCAGGGGAACCGGGGAACCACTACCTGTTGACCAGTTCTCTCGATCCTGCATCATTCTTAAGGAAGGCAAACTTGGAGGCTGCATGCTGAAGAACCGTGATGAGGAGCAGCGTCGTCCAGAAGGGCCTGTGGTGACGGGTAACACTCAGAGGCTGATCGTTATGGGGCTTAGGGTTAGGGTTTAGCTGATCTGTACTACTGATAGGACAAGGGAGGGCAAAGCCTCCGTGTTGCATGTAGATGCATCATCCATCAGCAACTAGCATGTTGATTAATCCTGTTTGTGTAATGAAAATGTAAAAAAGGTACCACATGTATCACTCAGTGCCAGTCACTAGTGTAAACTCACATGAACCACATCAAGATATGCTATGGAAGTGTAAACACACACCAAAAGGGGGGGAGAGGTCACTGATAGAGGGGTCCGCGCTGAAGGGCGTTCCTCTGTGACCCAGGGGTCACCTGAAATGGCATGGGTGTCCGGGCGATGAGTCGTCCTCACCACATGTTCCGGAGGAAACGGAAGAGCATGAAGTTCCGTCCGTACAGGATGGGAATGAGGACCAGGAACACAGCGAACAGGAAGCAGATGAAGAAAACCAGCGTCTGGATCACCATACCTGTGGAGAAAAGGCCGACTGTGACCAACATTTCATGGGCAAAATTTAACTGCATTTTCCTGCCAAAAATCATGGGCAGCCCTGAGATCGCAGGAGCCAGCAGAGCACTGGCCTGGACACCGGGATCAACTGGGATAACTGGGAACTCTCCGTTAGCATATGCTCACCATGCCCAACACGGCGCTCACCATAGCACCCCCTGCAAACTCGTCCAATGATTTTTAGTAAAGTGTGAAGAGCATATATTCTTCTAGACAAGTTTCTTTGGAAAATAAAAACATGCCATCAAAGATCGGAGTTACCAAGGCAGACGACGGCAGCTTGGTATGCGGTGAAGCCCATCCAGCAGACCAGGGCTTGTCGTGATGGGCGGGCTATTCTCTTGCGATTGAGAACATTGTGGACGTTGCCCCTATACAGCCCTCTGAGGTTGGACCTGAGCAAAAGGTAGACATAAGATAGGGCCTACTAGACTGTCACTGTACCTTACATACCCCAGTAAGAGCCTGCAGGACTGTCACTGCACCTTAAACATGCCAACAAGAGCCTGCAGGACTGTCACTGTACCTTTACATACCCCAGTAAGGGTCTACTGGACTGTCACTGCACCTTACATACCCAAGTAAGGGCCTACTGGACTGTCACTGCACCTTAAACATGCTAAGAATGGCCTGCAGGGCTGTCACTGCACCTTACATACCCCAGTAAGGGTCTACTGGACTGTCACTGCACCTTACATACCCCAGTAAGGGCCTGCAGGATGGTCACTGCAGCATAGATACCCCAACAAGGGCCTGCAGGACTGTCACCACATTGTATGGTATCTGCCCTCACTGTGTATAATCCCCTCGCTTCCATTTTCTAATTGCTGTTTATGCCCCAAGTTAGAGTTATTTCTGCAATTAGA